TTCGACGTTTGTGTTTAATTTTCTTAACAGATGTGTTCAGAAAAGATTAAACAGCATTATAATTATAATGAATTACCCAAATTTTAAAAAACTATATCTACCCGTTACTAATTAAAGAGAAGGAAATGTTTTTGAACTAAATTATAAAGAATGACCTACTTCATAGCAATTATTTCGTAAGAATAATGAACATGAGTAAAAAGTTCACAATTGTGCGTTATTTCTCTACGAATTTTTATTTAATCCTATAAAAAGTTTCATTAGAAAACATCTAGAGAAATGGACTGACTGAAAAATAAACTATTGAAGTGTCTAAGAGTGAAATGAAATTGAGGTAACAAACCTTAGTTAATGTCATGAGATCTATCTCATGTTTGTCTTTAGTCTTATGTTGTCTGAATGGACTGTGTCCCTTCAATAATTTATGTAACATACAACCAAACGAGAACCAATCCGCACTGGAATCATAAGTTACTCCCTTCGAGAGCACTTCTGGCGCCATATATCCGTGCGTCCCTCTATAACAGAAGTTTTGTTCTTTTATCGTTAAACTCACTGCATCTGTGATATTTGATATTAATATGCGATGACAAATCTAACGAGATACTTGTCAACATTTTTACATTGTCTACTGAATGTCTGCATCAATTGATAAATAAAGGCAACAACATTTGTCACCTAAAGGAGATATTTTTCTTTAATAAAAATATGAAACTTCGTGATATGCATATAATAATATGAAATAGTAAAAATGCATTCGGTTATCTTGTACACAGTAACTTATACACAAAGATGATTTAAAATAATACAATTATTATTCACATCCCTTACGTAGAACTTAAAGATATTAGAAAATTCAGTTAACTGAATTAACTGAAAACAGTTAATTGAATTATTCATTTCATCAATAGACTTTTCTTTTAATTTCTTTAAATGCTACAATTATATTTCATATCTTCTACACAGAATATGAACATATTCAGAACATTATTCACATTATGTTAGAATGTGAAGATGTGATCTTTTGCTATATGTATATCTCTTGGGACAACTGTTTTAATCTGTTCTTTGTGTGCAAGTTGCTAAAGATCACCCAGAGTTACTTGAAACTTGCACTTACACACTCGCGTGTGGTTTCTTCTTGGAGAAATCACAGGCCAGGCCCAGATCCGATATTCTGACGTGACCGTGTTCGTCCAGGAGGATATTTGCGGGCTTCAGGTCCCGATAAACGATGTACCTGCGGTGCATGTGCTCCAATCCCAGTATCACTTCGGCCGCATAGAATTTCATCTCTCGTTCGTTGAACACACCATGCTGATTGAGGTGATAATGAAGGTCGCCGCCATTCATTAGATCCAGAATGAAACAGAGCTTGTCTGGCGTTTGAAACGCGTACGTCATGCATACTATGAATGGACAATCCACCTGAAATTATAGTCATTATTGTAGTGTCATTATTAATTAACAGTACTAATTATTTCTTAAATTAAGCAAAGTCTGTTTTGTCGATTATTTTTATGAACGTTTCGTTACTTGTAATACTTTATAGACAAAGTTTCATATATTTTACTATATTATATTATTCCAGGTACAAACTAGAACACCTTTGGTGTAATAAAAATAAATGATACGTCATTTTTTGGAAAGATATACGAATAAAATTAGAAAATTTATTTTATTTTCTTAATAATCATTTGTCTGAATATTTTTTCCCAACAAATATAATGTATGTATCGTATGTATATTATTTTGCATGTTACTCTGTAAATTATTTTACATGTTAAAACTTTCATATTCAATTCTATCTTTTATATTTCTGAGAAACGAGAAAAGTGTTGGGAAAGAATGTTCATTGATATAATACTTTTTCAAAATAAATAAAAAACGGAAAGTGTGATCGCATCATTCTTTAACAGAATTTCATGTTTCCGTCAGAACGATATACTTTTTGAAATATTTTGCGTATAAAAACTTTTATAGTAAAGAATGCAAATGTATGCCTGAAAATTTTCACCATAGCAAATACATATCTCTCTCGAAATATTTTGAAAACACTCGTTCATATTACGGCAAGAATTCTACGGACCGTTTCTTTGCAGTTTTTACCACAGAAAAGCTAAGGTAATAACATCAGAGTAATACGTTTAAACTGTTTCTCTTAATTTATTCTTTTACATTGTTCGTATATTCTATCTAATATCCTTAATTCTTAGTTTTGTATAAAACGAAATGACCAATTGTTTACTAAACGAAGGAAAACAAATTCACGCACAAACAGACGAATTATCAGAATATAACATAAAATTCGATTTATCGTTGACGATTCTGCGATTTATTTCTGAGAAGAGTATAATTGTTGATAAAAAAAATATTTAAAAATAACCAACTGTGAGCGAGATCATTCGCGTAAGATTAAAGTAATAACAATAACACTTATCTTCATCGTCTATGTTATACATTTTAAAAAATTTTTGAAGGAATTACAAAAGTGTTATAAAAATTCTAGCTATTCAAAAGTTGTATGTAACGTTTGTATCGAATGTTATACAGTACTACATTTGAAATTTCACAGTCCACAGTACTTTTGGGATATTACATTGTCGAGGGAAGCTTACTCCGGTACTGACTGCCGAAAGCATTATCCTTTCGTTGAGCGCTAAAGTTTCGCCTTGTTTCATTTTTATTCGCTTCTTATCGAGGCACTTCATTGCGTACATTTTCCCTGTGTCTGCCTTCCGGCACCCGTAAACCTCCCCGAAACCACCTCTGCCTATAATTCGATGCACACTGAAGTCGTTCATCGTCAACTGAAACAGTAATTCCGCCCATGAAATGTTTCAATATATTTTAATACTATTATATGTTGGGATATTTGTTTACAACAGATAAGTAACGGTGGCACAATTTTGCAGAAAGAGTAATTTTTCATGAAATTATAACCTAAAACTGCAGAACGAATCTTTCAAATACGAGAAACTTTTTTAAAAAGAAAAATAGACGTATTGAAAGAACGAAGGTTAACGAAAAAATTAACGGATTCCAGGAGAGATTTACAGTATGACATCTACGCTGTTGCGTGTCGATGTCTCTTGATTCTTTAACCCTTTGCGTTACGAATAGTCAAATTATTCTGCACTCATTTGGCCACTGTCGGGCAGTACCGTGTAGTTCGCCTTTATTTCAATATTTCAGCGTACTGTTAGTTATAAAATATTAGGTTTCGGTATAATATTAATGCATAAAGAAAAAGGTTTATTATCGTTTATAATTTATCATTGTATGATATCTGAAGGTAAAAATTCCTACGTCGAGTCTGACTTGACATAGGACAGCAAAGGGTTAACGCTTACTAAGCTTAGAATAAATTTTCGATACAAAAAGTGTATTATTATTATGTAACAAAATCTCGTACATAAAAATTGTATTCGAGCAATTTTAATTTATTACTTCACAATAAATCAATCTTCCTTAATTATGCTACAATTATCGGGTCGCTCGGTATACATATTATTACAGTATTTACAACGCACGAGCAGATTCCTGCCTTACCTGCATGTTTAATTCTACGTTCTTCCACTGACAAAAACGAGTGTACTTCTCACTGAAAATATACAACGGCATTTCTTAGCGATTTTTTAGAGCACCAGAAGCTGCGAGCAGTGTCATTAGTTTGGTAACATACCTTTCTAGAAATTTCTTGAACGGCTCCTCCCTTAAGTGTTTAAAAATCTCTTCGATATACGGCTGCAAAGAGGTAATCAGTTTCGAATTCAACGAAAATTGCGTTCAGTATTGTTAACAATTAAGCGATACAAGACTAGGAGGGACCAACCTCGAATAGATTAACGGGAACCTCGTTTTTCATGAGGTATTTATGAACATGGGCCACCGCTTCCGCGGAATATTCCTGCAATAAAAATCATCGAGCGATTAAAACAACAAATTTTTATCCTCATTACGGTTAAATGTGTACGAACAAATGTATTTCTTAACCCTCGGACGGCGGGTGCCGGGTCAAATATGTATCCTAATGACAACGAGGCTTGCTTCACATTCGGTAAGTAGATTTTAGTAAATTTCCGTGGATTTAAAGAAATTTCAATAGACAGTAGAATACAGTAGATTTTGTTAGATTTTAGTGTACTTCAGTATGCTTCACATTCAGCAAGCGTCCTCCTTATACTTATGAACGGGTGTGTATATGAATGAACAACGTGCATCTAATGCATGTTTGATTATTCCATACATTTTGCATTGACGATAATTCAATGTTAATTCAACTTTTTATTCGCTACAATTTTCTCTAATTCGTTACTTTTCCGTCGAATACTCTTCATTCTGAAACGAAATTCTATCATAAAGTTTAAAGCGCTGTTTCTCCCATTCAACGTTTAATAAAGTAAATTAACAAAATGTAACAATAATTCCACTGCAATGTTTAAACGAAATTCTCCGAAAGATATTAATATTAATCTTAATTTAATCACTGAAAATTTCAATTAAAATCCATTTTAATTTAGCTCATATCTCAACTCGCAATATTATTGTTTTTCTTTTTAAACGACTGTAAATGAACACTTAATGAATTCCATTTCTGCAATTGTATGCAAAATTTCTCCAAACCGGTCAATGGAATATTTCCTACGCCAAACGTAATACTTTACAAAATTTTCATTTATTCCTTTTTATTTTTCTTAATGAAATCTCACAAAATGAAATTCATCGATTCGTAATTTGTATCTAAATACTTATATCAAAATACACTTGGGTCTCTTTTTGCATGCTACTTTTTACACGGGTTTTCACACGTTTTACTATAATAAAAAACGACCATGAATAAAATATCGATTTTTCAGAAAAAAAAACGTTATATTTTCATTTTCCTCAACATATCAGCTTTTCTTTTGTGTACATTAAATAAAATGTTTTCCGTGAATGCATTTCTACATATTAACTTGCTTTCCGTACAGTTTGCGTTACTTGCAAAACATTTCAATAGACAATATCAAGAACATAATTTGGTTTTCACTGTAGTAAACTTATTTACACAACGAATATCGAAGCTATCGCGATAGTTTTACTTGGAAAGGTGAGTATTGCTTACGTCTTTGCTTATCTAGCAATGCGCGGTTTTCTTATCACATCCGTATTCCTCGACAAATTTCAAACGGTGTTTCGAATGTCGCGTAGCGAACGCCTTCTTCGTACATTTGAATTTTCTCGGAATTGGAAATCCTTCGTTCAGCCGAACTTATCCGGTGACAGGTAAAACTGAACGCGGTTAACATCATTATCCGTCTAATTAAGTGAATACCTGCAGGCAGAGTATTAACTACTAATTGACGCTCGTTGATAGAAACTCCATTGAAAATGTTTCATACTTTAAATTACAAATTGCAGTTTAATACAAAGAGCGATTTGAGAAAAAGTGTCGCACAATTTAAGAAGAAATATACCAATTAGAATAAGCAAGAAATAATCTCGAAAGAAGTAGGTAATAGCTGTAGGTTGAAATAACGATGCTTGCTTTCCATGAAATATTTATCTCAGTTAATTCAAGAACATCCTTTCGATGAGAAACGTTTCACACGTGCGTAAAAGTGAATCACGGATCGAGATAAATTCGTGCGACAACTTTTCAGTTAGAAAAATTGTTTAGCCGAAGTAAGAAGCGTTTAGAAATGCAGAATTTTTTTTAAACAAACGCGCAAGTAATCGCATTTTGAAGCCAATGAATTTATTCGTCGATTAACGATACAGTCGAACACCGCGGTAACTCGGAAACCTTCGTAAGGCTAGAATTTTACTCGTTTCCTTCCGTTTCGCCGTGAAAACCTCTGAAAATCGAGATATGAACTTCTTATAACTGGAATTATTAACACGTTTGGATGCGTTGTTTAACTCGAGTTTAGAAAAGCTTGACCTCCGCAAATCAAAGTCCTATCATCGCTCTAGAACTCGAAGTACCGTGCCCGAAGTAAAATTACCGATTTTTTTTTTTAATAACGTGTAATAGCCAAGATACAACGCAAACTGTCATTTATTTTTCATTTAAAATTTATCGTTTCTTTATGTTTGTATGTATATATTATACACTACCGGCAAAAAGTTTGGAATCATCTCCCGGTTTTCATCAATATTAAATCTGCTGCTAATTTTTTATAGGTTTTAGGTTTATCTCACTTCTACATTTATCAATTTATCTCATGTCGATTGATTCGAATGATAAAAAATTCTGTGATTGTTTTCTGGAAATTTTTGTGCAAATTGCAATGCTCAGTGGTTCGAAACTTTTGGCCGGTAGCGCATGTACAAGTATAAATATGCAATAAATATGTACATAATTGATCTCTAAGGGCTGAATTTCTTTTCCGAGCTTCTATAATTCGAAAAACACAAAACCCCTGTGAGTCGAATTTTCGTTTGTCAAACCTCGAAAACATCGATAAAAAGAAACCTGCGTAATTCGAAGATTTTAGCTTTTCCCTTGGGATTCGAGTTACCGAGCTTCGACTGTGTATCATTTTCACTAAAACTCACTTCGTTCGTTTCATCTGCTAAATTTGTTTTTTTTTTTAATAGCAAAATATAAACCTGAAAAATTTTCTACGGATACTAGAGCGCCTGTATTTAACATACTCGTTTCAAAAGATACAAAGGACGATTTCTCGAGCAATGAAAAAGTTGCAAATTTTCTAACTGCGCGCATTATACAGCTTTACCCAGCAAATTGATCGTCAATACAAACTTCCGTTAACAAAGAAGACTCTTTAACGTGTCGAAGGGGAAAATTGCGGGCACCGAGCGATTAAAGGCGAGGTTAAAATTAGGGGCGAACCAACTGGGAGAAAAGTCGCGTGAAAAAAGCCACGGAAATAGTTCCTCTTCTGAAGATATCGAGGTCCAGAGATTAGAAGCCCTCGGTGTGCTACGAAAAGACCTATTCCGGATTCTTA